CGTGAGCCACAGCGCCCGGCCACTTCTAATGGTTTTGCATCTGTGTTTCTTCTGAGGACTGCCTTGGGGTGACTGGCATCACTGTGTGCATGGGCCGGGGGAGCCGGAAGGGCCTGGCAGTTTACATCACCCTGGGGAGGCTCTTAGCTGTTGAGTGACTGATGCAGGGCTGTGAAAGCCCAGTACCTTTGCCTTGAGGTGGCTGAAACTCAGAGGCGTTATTTATACTCCAGTGCTCTCCTGTTAAATCGGGCTAAGGCTGGGATTCTGCCCAAAAATCATACCGTTGCTTGGCTGCTGCTGCTGCTTTTTTCTGCTCCCCTATTCCCAGTTTCCCCTGGGAGCACCTTGATAAAAAATCACTTGAATCCTCTCATGGTCTGCTTCTGGGGAACCCTAATTAAAACAATATGAATCTAAGTCTTCTTCATATTCATAGTCTTTGGAATCACTTTTAGGCATCATAGTTAATACACTGCTATTTCCAACTCATTCTTGGAATATTAACTTTTGGTCCATTGGGATGGCTAAAACGTATATTTAAAATGATGCTAGTGTGTCCACTGCATGTCTCCTTTGTTTTAACGGATGGCTCCATTCTGACCTTAATTGAGTTATGCTTGTGTTACTAGATATTAAATAGCTCATCTTAAAATTTAATCAGTGCAGTCACAGCAATAGTTGTTTTACTGTGCATGAATCATTCTTACTGATCCATTCAGAAAGACTGGTCAGTATTTAGTTTAATCACATTGCCTGGCATGTGATGCAGTAACTGTTTATTTCAATATTGTATCATAGGAAGCTTTCTATCCTAAAATAGTTTTTTTTGAGACAGAGTCTTGCTGTGTTGCCTGGGCTAGAGTGCTGTGGCGTCAGCTTAGCTCACAGCAGCCTCAAACTCCTGGGCTCAAGCAACCGTACTGCCTCAGCCTACTGAGTAGCTGAGACTACAGGCATGCACCACCACGCCTGGCTAAAAAGAGACGGAGTCTCGCTCTTGTGGAGGCTGGTCTCAAACTCCCCTGACCTCAAGCAATCCTCCCGCGTCAGCCTCTCAGAGTGCTAGGATTATAAACATGAGCCACGGTGCCCAGCCATATAAGCCTTTATCTTTATTGGGGTTATGTTTCGCTACTTCGGTAGCCTGTTATCAAAGGTGTCTGGGCCCTGGAAATTTTTCCTCACAATGGTGCTTGTGGGACCGCAATTTTCTTGCTGTTTTTATTTTTTCTATAGAAAGTAGGGATTGAACATAAAGAGTTTGACATTTTAGTGGATGACCTTTGATGGAAAAAGGTGGTGATTTCTTATAATCAAGACAACTGACATTTTAAAAAGCAAGCTATTGTCGTCTTATAACTTTTGCTGCTTGTTGCAAAAGAAAAGCATTGAACAGACTATTACTATCCTTTTACATTGGTATGCTGGGTTGAAATACAGTTTATTTGGAAAGTAAATTAGTCTTTTATGTCCCCTCTCATCTATTAAGTCAGGATAATAATTCCTACCTGGCAAGGTTGTTTTGAAGATTAGAAATAATGTAAATAAGAAGTGCTCAGCACAATGACTGGTGAGCACATAGAAGGCTCACAATAACAGTAGTTACTGTTATTTTATTTTTACCGCTACCTCTATTACTATCACCACTGAGACTGCTACTGCAGTGCTGGCTCCATTATCCACAGTAGGAGGGAAAGCGATGCACCAACTGTCTGGTGCTTCTTGTTTTTCCCTAATAGGGCCCAGATTTACGTGGTCCCTTAGTTGTTAGAGCAACTCTGAGGCTTGCAACAACTCCCTGTTTGATTAATTTTGCTTCTCAAACCGGAATGTTTCTTCCCTGTTACTGCTACAAAATAATTACTTCTTTGGAACTTGGCACTTATTAGTTTTTGAATTTACTTTCTAAGGCAGGGCTACAGACTTGTGAGCAGTAATTGCACTTTGTTTCATCTCCCTAAACCTTGAGCTCTGTGGTCCCTGAGTGAGTTGGGTGGGGCTCAGGGATGTGTGTGCTGCTGCCTGCCACTGTTGGCCCTCTCCTCCCAGCAGGGAGTCTTGGTAAAGCATCATCAGTGGGAAAGTGTGTGTTTTAGAGATCTGTTTTGTAGTTGGAAATTCTTCAAAGGTAAACAAACATAGGAAGCAAAAGAGTATGGCCGACATGTGGCTGCTGCATTGGTGCATTTTGCCATTCCAATAGTTAGTTACTTTCCAGGTATAACGAAATGGCATCTCACTTGTCACAGTAGACACTTGGTTTTTATGGATTTAGAGTTTGCCATTTCAGTTATTTACCAGGATCCTGAACAACTTTATCCTATTTCATAAGGCTGGGGCATTAGAGCAAGTGGTTGTGCCTGGCAAGCTGCTTGACATCCCTGTTGCCTTCCACTTGCAGTAATTCTTGTGAAATGCCAGAATGGTATTTGTGAATTTGGAGATTTGCAAAGTTATATACCTTTAGAATGCCAAGGATCTACTATGTTTTTTAAAATTTAATTTTATAAAAATTAATATGTATATATTTATGTATTTAAAACCACATAGTTCCATAAGGCATATAGATTAAAAACACAAAAACAGCAGTTCCCTGTCCCAGACGTTCTTTTCTCCATCAATTTCCCACTCCTCAGAGGCAGCCATTTGCAGTTGTTTCAGCTGTTTCTTCCACTACTGACTTCTGTATTTCTAAATAATATGCTACTATTTTTTGAGATAGCCTATTTCAGATAGTATTTCTGGACTAATAGGAAAAGAGAGGACTAAACTCTATTAACACCACTTCTCCTCTGTCCTTCCAATGCAAATTTGCCTTTTCTCACCCTCCCAGTATCTCAGATTTGGTTTGGTGTTCATATTATCATGCCTATGTAAATATTGCCTACAAATGAACTGCAAACAACCTTTTATTTTTCCTACAGTTAATTATTGCTCCATGTTTAAATTGTCTTGTTTTTTTAACAACCTGTCTTCACACCGTGATGGAACTGTTAAATTCTTAGCACTGTCAGCCACATCAGATGATCTGTCTATTGCTTTTTCTCACTCCCCTTCGAAACCTCCTTCCTATAATCCTCCATCCTGCTCCCGTCTCAACTGCTCGCTCTCCAGGCCTGCTGCTTAGTTGTCATCTTGGGCTACATCATCATCCTTGGATTCTCTTTGCCTGTCTTTTATGGTAGCTCTCCTTTTTCCTGCATTCTTTGTTTTCTTTTTCTTAGTTTATTCCCAGCTTTCTTAAGCACAACCTTTAGTCTCTTCCTGAAAAGGGATAAACCTCTGGGTTCGTGCTTGTGTGAAAATGCCTTAGTTTATCATCATAACTGATAAATAGTTAGGCTGAGTGTGGACTTCTAAGTTGGAAATGATTTTCTTGGAGAATTTTGAAGGAAGTATCACTCCTAACTTTCAATATTGCTTTGGCAAAATCTAATTTTAATTTCTGATTCTTTGTAACCAGCAAACTTCTGCCCACCCTCCCTTTTTCAGGACATTTAATCCCAAATGTTGTAAAATGTCACTGTAATGAGCCTAGTATGGGGACTTGTTTCTTCATTCATACTGTTGAATACTTAGTGGGGCATATTAGTCTTTATAAGCAAATTCTTCAGTTCTGGAAATTTTTATTTTATTTATTGATTTATTTATTTATTTCATTTTATTTTTTTGAGATAGGGTCTTGCTGTGTCACCCAGGCTAGGATGCAGTGGCATGATCATAGCTCACTGTAACCTTGAACCCCTGGGCTTAGACAGTCTTCCCACTTCACTCTCCTGAGCAGGTAAGACTATAGGTAGGTGCACACCACCACACCCAGCTAATTTTCTCTCTCTCTCTTTTTTTTTTTTTTTTTGTAGAGATGAGGTCTCACTGTGTTGCCCAGGCTGGTCCCGAACTCTTGGCCTCAAGTGATCTTCCTGCCTTGGTCTCCTAAATTGCTAAGGTTACATAGGCATGGGCTGCTGTGCCCAGCCAGTTCTGGAAATTTTTAAAATACTGTTTCTTAAATCATTTTCTCCCTCTGTTTTCTGTCTTTCTCTTTCTATAGTCAGATTGGACCTCATTAATCCTCTTTTTCTCTTTTTTTAATTTTTAAAAAATTTTTATAGATTTAGGGGGTAAAAGTGCAGATTTGTTACATGGATATATTGCGTAGTGGTGAAGCCTGGGCTTTTAGTGTGCCCATCCCCTGAATAGTGGACGTTGTACCCAGTAGGTAATTTTTTATCCCTCATCCCCCTCTCACCCTCCCACCTTTTGGTGTCTCCGGTGTCAGTTAGTCCACTCTGTATGTCCGTGCTTACCCATTGTTTAGCTCCCACCGTAAGTGAGAACACATGGTATTTGTCTGTTTCTGAGTTATTTCACTTGCAATAATGGCCTTCAGGTCTATCCATGTTGCTGCAAAAGACATGATTTCATTCTTTTTTATGGCATACTAGTTAGTATTCCATGATACATACATATATAACATTTTCTTTTTCCAGTTATCCATTGATGGACTCTCTTTCTTATTCATTCACTTTTATTTCTCCTTTGCCTTCCCTGTGAAATCTCTTCAACGATTCTCTTCCAACCCTTCTATTAACTTGTAAATTTTTTTGTTATTTTTAATTTCCAGTAGTTTTCTTTTTCCCTGAATATTCGTCTTTTTTTAAAAAAAATTATATTTTCTTGTTTCATGGATGTGGTATCTTATCTCTGAGGATGTTAATTATAGGTATTTTTTCCCCTTTTAGTTTTCTTTTTTTTGCTCTGCATTGTTTCCGTTTCTTCCAAATGCTTTTTTTCCCCCTGTCTGTATGGTAGAGTGTTTTTTCATCCAGATTGTGGTGCTCCCTAACTGTTCATATTTAAGAGTGAAGCATGAACTGATTGGAAGCTGAATGGATGGATAGGCCTTGAGGACTAGTAGGTTTCACCATAGGAAAATTAGATGGAGACCCAAGTATTCTGTTGGAGAGACTCCCCAAACATCAGTTTCTACAGAGAGGAATCTCCAGTCTCCATGGGAGGTATGAAGAATCTCCAGTCTCTTTGCTAGTCTTACGGTTGCTGAGCAGGTAAAGGGGTTGAAGGTGGCAGGTGAGGAGGGGCGTCTTATCTTCTGTATGCAGACTTAACTTAAAGTTTGTTTACAGCATAGTGCCTGATTCTGACCTCAGGTAGCACCTGGCATCGTAAGTACAGAGTCTCTGCTTCAACCTCAAAGGCTTCCACACTCCCTACCCCTGCCCAATCCTGTCAGAAGCAGCTGCCCCTTCTTTGTCTCCTGTTGCACCTTATGCTTCCCCTATCATAGCACCTATAAGACTTTATTTGCTTGTAGCCTGTTTATTAGTCTGTTTCCCCTGAGGGCAGGGATTGGATCTGTCTTGTTGATCATTTTGTTTCTTGTACCAGGCACATTAGATATTCAGTCTGTATATGTTTGAATCCCAGGGTTTAGCCATTATATTCAGCCTAACCTCCACCCCAGAAGACCAGAGGTTCACTCTGGAGAGGGGGGAACAGGATTTTTGACTCTTTGGGTCCCTCAGTGTCTGTAGGGCCTGTGAACAGAGGGCACCGAGGAGTGCCCCTTTGGGGTTATTGACTCTCTGTTCTAACTACATAATGAGGGTCTGTCATGAGCTCTAGCAAAGGATACTTTTAATCGGCAGTCATGCAGTTCCTAAGAAGTGTAGCAGTTTCTTGGACAAGAATAAGCAAGGTCTTGTTTCCAGTGAGTCCAGAACATGAAAATGTACAAATATTTAATGATTCCATACTCCACATTGGAAAAGTGATCCACTCAGAGGCTTTGTGGGCTCTTCTTTTTCTCCTTTGTAAATTCTAACTTTTCATTATGAAAAATTTTAAATATACAAAGTAAACTTTTGAAGCAAAGCCCAGACATCGTTGTTTCTTCTGTAACTATTTACATCTTTTAAAAATACTCTTTAAAAAAAATCGTAGTACCATTATCACAACTAAGGAAAAAAATAATAATAATTTCTTAATGTCATCAAAGACACATGTGATATTCTAAGCAGTCAGTTTAGTTAGTTCTGTAGAAGCCCTACAGTTCAAAAGGGACTCTAGGAGATCCTGTCTCGCAAAAGGGACTCCAAAAAAATGGTTTCGGACCAAGCTTATTCATCTCTTGTTTTTCTTTCCCCGTAATTTCTTTTTATGGAGGTATCATGTATTGTGCTTTCTTGAGGTATAATGTACATACCATAAAATTCCATGTTTTAAGTGTTCAGTTCAAATATTTTAATAAATTTATAAGGTGTGCAACTATGACCACAATAGAATTTTAGGCCGTTTCTGCCACCCCCCCCCCAAAAAAATGCCTCTTTGCATTTGCATTAATTTCCTAATCCCACCTCTAGCCACAGATGACCACTGGTCTACTCTCTTTATAGAGTTATCTTTTCTGTATGTGAGAGTTTTTTTAATCGGATAGACTTTCAGCCAGGCCTCCTGTCTTAGCCACACCTTCGCTCCACTTCCCCTGGCACCAGTCTCTGAGCTTTTGGGAGGGCAGTTTACATATGTCAAGTTGTTTTATCTCATGCCAGTTTAGGATTTTAGCTTTTTGGGTATGCTCCATCAGCATTCATTCACCTGCTCCCCTGCTTCCAAAATGCTATTGATGTCTCTTTTTTTTTTTCTTGTGGGCTTATACCTTTAAAACAGTAATAAAACCAAAAAACTTTAGTGTCTTTTTAATGGGGTTTCAGGACTGAGTAGTGGGCACATGCATGTGTGCAGTCTACTACCATCTATAACTGGAAATCTTCCCCACAAACATTGATTTGCCCTTTTCACTTATTTAAGGTTGTTAAGACTGGAACATTCCTCAGGGAATGCAGAACTCTAACAGACTTTTGTGGGATAGATACGCTGCCACCTACACATTGGTATTTACTAGACCCTCCGCGTTATAAGTGGGTCCCATGACGAGTGAAGGGGAGCCTGTACACAGCCAGTGGCTGAGCCCACATGCGTATACTTCCTGGGCTGATAGCTGGGTTGGCGTTTGCTCCTTATTTGACAAGTTCTTAGTGTATATGCCTGTCATCAGAGACATCACAAGCTTTAAAAGGTCCAAGCTTGGCTTTTCATCCTACCCTGTGTTCTGACTTTGACTTAAGCTTATCTAAGTCTTAACACTTTTCTTTCTTTGTTTTCCTGTAGGATCATGGATTTTCCTGGTCACTTTGAACAGATCTTCCAGCAACTGAACTATCAGAGACTTCATGGCCAGCTCTGTGATTGTGTCATTGTAGTGGGGAACAGACACTTTAAAGCCCACCGCTCTGTTCTGGCAGCATGCAGCACGCATTTCCGAGCCCTGTTCTCAGTGGCGGAGGGAGATCAGACCATGAACATGATCCAGCTGGATAGTGAGGTAGTGACAGCAGAGGCCTTTGCTGCGCTGATTGACATGATGTATACCTCCACCCTCATGCTGGGGGAGAGCAATGTTATGGATGTCTTATTGGCAGCCTCTCACCTGCATTTGAACTCTGTGGTTAAGGCATGTAAACATTACCTAACGACAAGGACGCTACCCATGTCTCCTCCCAGCGAGCGCGTTCAGGAGCAGAGCGCCCGCATGCAGCGCTCCTTTATGCTGCAGCAGCTGGGACTAAGCATTGTGAGCTCAGCCCTCAATTCCAGCCAGAGTGGTGAGGAGCAGCCAGCCCCCATGAGCTCGTCCATGCGCAGTAACCTGGACCAGCGGACACCCTTCCCCATGAGACGCCTTCATAAGCGCAAGCAGTCTGCAGAGGAGCGGGCCAGGCAGCGCCTCCGGCCCTCCATGGATGAGTCTGCCATTTCAGATGTTACACCAGAGAACGGGCCTTCGGGGGTTCATTCTCGGGAGGAGTTCTTTTCACCAGATTCTCTAAAAATTGTGGATAACCCTAAAGCCGATGGAATGACCGACAACCAGGAAGACAGTACTATCATGTTTGACCAATCTTTTGGTGCTCAAGAAGATGCCCAGGTGCCCAGCCAGTCTGACAACAGTGCCGGCAACATGGCACAGCTGTCTATGGCCTCTCGTGCAACTCAGGTTGAGACTAGTTTCGATCAGGAAGCTGCAACTGAGAAAAGTGGTTTTCAGTGTGAAAATCCTGAGGTTGGCCTTGGTGAGAAGGAGCACATGAGAGTGGTGGTTAAATCTGAGCCCCTGAGCTCCCCCGAGCCTCAGGATGAAGTGAGTGACGTGACCTCGCAGGCAGAAGGCAGCGAGTCCGTGGAAGTGGAAGGAGTTGTGGTCAGTGCCGAGAAGATAGACCTCAGCCCTGAAAGCAGTGATCGGAGTTTTTCAGATCCCCAGTCTAGCACGGACAGGGTAGGTGACATCCACATTTTGGAAGTCACAAATAACCTAGAGCATAAGTCAACTTTTAGTATTTCAAATTTTCTTAATAAGAGTAGAGGAAGTAACTTCAGCACAAATCAGAACAATGATGATAATATCCCAAACACCACTAGTGACTGCAGGCTGGAGGGCGAGGCCCCTTATTTGTTGAGTCCAGAGGCTGGGCCTGCAGGCGGGCCCTCTTCTGCCCCTGGCTCCCACGTGGAGAACCCATTTAGTGAACCTGCAGACTCCCACTTTGTTAGGCCTATGCAGGAGGTGATGGGCCTGCCGTGTGTGCAGACATCCGGGTACCAAGGAGAACAGTTTGGGATGGATTTTTCCAGGTCTGGTTTGGGTCTCCACTCCTTCTCCAGGGTAATGATAGGTTCCCCAAGGGGAGGAGCCAGTAACTTTCCATACTACCGCCGCATAGCTCCAAAAATGCCAGTTGTAACTTCTGTCAGGAGCTCACAGATCCCAGAAAATTCTGCCAGTTCCCAGCTAATGATGAATGGGGCCACATCCGCATTTGAAAATGGCCATCCTTCCCAGCCTGGCCCTCCACAGTTGACCAGGGCATCTGCTGATGTCCTGTCAAAGTGCAAGAAGGCCTTATCAGAGCACAATGTTTTGGTTGTGGAGGGAGCTCGAAAGTATGCCTGCAAAATCTGCTGCAAAACTTTTCTGACTTTGACAGACTGCAAGAAGCACATCCGTGTTCACACAGGTGAAAAGCCCTACGCCTGCCTCAAGTGTGGCAAGAGGTTTAGTCAGTCCAGCCACCTGTATAAACACTCGAAGACCACCTGCCTGCGCTGGCAGAGCAGCAATCTTCCCAGCACTTTGCTCTAGCTACGTGTCCTCACGAGACCATGGTGAGGCCAGTTGGAGGACTGAAACTAGAATCTCTTTTGGTAAGCAATGAATGCCACTGGGTTTGAGGCTTCAGGCTGCCCAGTGGCTCTTGCAAATTTCAGCAACTAATAAGTGGAGAACTAATACATGTAGCATTTGCGCTGCTGCATTTCTGAGTGAAGTGCACGCCTTGGGAGAGGGATGCAATCCCCGAAACCAAGTTCTTCCTTAGGATTGAGTAATACGGTCATAAAGTAATTTGTAACTGATGTTAAAAGTGGCACATTTAAAAATTAAAAAAATGAAGTGCAAAAGAATTTTTTTAGCAATTTTTGTAAAACTCTGTGAAGCATTTAATTAAATTTCCTATACCCTCTGATGGGAGTATTATATCCCTGTACAGTGATGCAAAATGCACTTACGTGTAACCAGTGGTGGCTTGGCGCCTGTCTGAAAAGAAGGCCCTTGAGGACGCGCCTGTCTGCCACAGATGCTTTAAAGTGTATCCTGAGCTAGTCCTAGGCCTCAGAAAGTACTGTATTTTTTATTGTTGTCTGATTTGCAGTCACAGACACTGCACTTTGATGGTGCTGACACTGGGTCCAGAGTGAGCATTCTCTTGGACTATTAGGTGTATATACTTTTGAATACATCACTGTTAGATAGATGTTTTAACAGTTTTTTCTGGTTTTAAAAACAAAGTTGTAAATGGAGTATGTACTTGTAGAAAGTGACAAGTAAGGTATTGTTTCTGTATGTGCTGTTTTAGCAGTATTTTAACCAACTTGTACTACAGATGTTACAGTTCCATGTTAGGAAGTCAGAAAAGAGCTAGTGTTTGTCTTTGTTCTGATGATGTGGAGTCATGTTTTGTGGGGTCTTTCATGGCACATCTCACCCAAGGACAAGCCTGTTCTCCGCTTCATTTCTTCACACTCCCCATATGGTATCTCTTCCAGGCCTAGAGTACCATTTTCAGTTACAAACTAACCAAAAATTCCACCCCCCCATGGGTTTTATTACTGTTATATGCTGTACTTTTAACAATATAGACCCAAAACTTTTATTGTTGTTGCTTCCCCAATCCTGTACTGAATGTTCAAAATTGTTTGAAATCCAAACACAGTAGTGTTCATGGATGTTTTCCAGGCTCCATAAGAGTTAGCCCATAGCACAGAAGTCACTAAGTAGCATCTGAGACTGTTGGGGAGGCATTCGGATCACTGCCCAGGGCCCTCTCTGGGCCCTCCGGCCTCACATCCCCAGCCCCACCTTGCCGTGGACCCTGTGCCATTGGGGCTGTTGGTGGCACCTGTGTAAGGCCAAGCCCTGGCTCATGTGTGTCCAGAGGAACAACACAGGTTAATGCATTTCTATAGAACTCATGAAGCGTCGGTTTAATTCATGCATGAAAATGAGTTCATTTTATTTTTTTAGACATCTTTCTTAGAGATACCAAATCATTGTGTGTAATTCAGAGAAATTATTAAGTTCTTGTGTTTAGAAAGCTTAAGTATTTATGTGGAGCCTAAAACAAAAATGAGTGTGTGTTTTCTCCTCTTAATTTAGTGTGTGCAGTTACACATCTGTGGATTAATTCATAATGTTCTAGAGGGGCTTGACGTCTCCCATGAATTGATTCCCGGGGAGGAAAGCCCAAAAGGAAACCTGCGATTCCTCTCCTTCTGAGTAGGCGTGGGAAAGAGGCCACTGGAGGATGTGGGATCCCCTGTGAAGTTGAGCTCTGTATACGGCTCATGGTACGCGTTCTGACATGATGTGAGGAGGCTCTGCATCCACCCCTCTTTGTGATGTAGGGACCAGTGTCTTCCAAGGAGATTGATACTGGGACTCAGGTGGGTCAGCATGGAAACAAGAGAGGCCCTGCCTGGGCCCAGGGAGAGGATCCAGTGACACCAGCAGAAAAGTGCGGCCCTCCTTCCCTTCCGTCTTGAGGAGGTGTGCCAGCAGCCTGCCTTTACCTCCCCTCGGCCATATGCAGACTTTGCTTTTGGGGCCTATCTCTGATACACGCGGGAGCCCTGCCTCTCCACTGCTAGATGGAACTTGGACTCTCTCATCTACCTCTTAGTCAGTCAATTTCTTGTGAGAAGCAAGCCTGTGGGCCAGTGTCCTTGTACATGCTGTAGCACTTAAAAAATAATTCCAAGGTTCCCTGGGAAACCAGTCCCAGGGTTCCTATGATCTGTAGTTTCTACCTGGATTGTAACTGGTATTGGGTACCTGAAATTTGATTGGTTAGCCTTAATTATAGCCTGGCATGATCATGTAGAATCCTTTCTGGTGATCAAATCATAAAGTTCTATCAAGGCACCCATGTCAGTGGTGCTATGCTGGTCACAATTTGAGATTTTGAAATAAAAAATTTGTCATATCCATGCCTCGAAATATGTGTTCTTTTTCTTTGCCTAAGTTATTAAGGTTGAAACAAAAAAAAGTGTTGTATCTCTTTCTCTGCTAGCCCTGCTTTGACTACTGCTTTTTTTAAACCAAACCTCTTAGAAGATAATGTTGTCGATTAGTAACAATTACTGGTCGTTTCCCTCAAATTATTCCTTTTGCCTTCCCCCTGCGTGCCTTTTCTGTCTCTGAGCTGTGGACATGTGTGAGATTCTGTTCTTGGTCCACCAGGTTGCTCTTAGAGGACCTGCCTCCCAAGTTGAAAACTCCACTGGCCACTTTGGCTTGGCCGAGGGCTTAGACTGGAAGCTGATTCCAGAGCACAGAGCAGGGCTTTGGCAATGGCGACGCTGCGGCCCGACTTTGGGGAGTGGGCGAGTGGTGATTAACCACAGAGCAGCCACCTGGGGGCAAGGGAGCAAAGTGTGCAGGTGCTGAAACTAGTTTTAAAATTAAGAAACCCACCTACCTGCAATTACTCTTGACCAAAAAAGATAAGTGTTTTTGTTTCCTAATTTTTGTTTCTTCTAATTAACTCTCCTTTACTGTATGTGCTCTTTAATTTTCCTGATGGTCTGTGTTTCAGATTCAAGTGCCATGGTCACACTGGGCTCTGCTTGTCCTGTCCTGGGTGAGGGACAAATGAAGGAACTGGGGCAGAGAGGATGAGGAGAGACGTGGTTCGGACAGGTTCTAATAATGAAAATGGTCAGGGGTGACGGCTGGTGGGAAGCAGAGCCAGGCATACCACTAGAAGCCCTGAGTTAGATGAGGTAAGCAGATGCTCTTTTTATTCTTTTTAGAGATGGGGTCTCACTGTGTCACCCAGGCTGGAGCGCAGTGGCTACTCACAGGTGGCATCATAGCTCACTCCTGGCCTCAGGCTCCCAAGGAGCTGGGACTCCAAGCACAAGCCGCTGCACTTGGTTTGATGCTTTTTCGTTAGCTTCCCCCAGGTACAGAACAAGAAAGTCTCTCAGAATTATTTAATAATGGCATTACATGTTTTGGGCTAGGCGTATCCAACCACAAAAGTGGCAAGCACATCTGTCAGCACCAGTCTTCCCTCGCAGAATCAGGACAGATCAGACTTTTCCTTGGCTCCCACCTGTGGGCACGCCTGACAGAATACCAGGGCGCCTTGTGCCTCCCGGCCCTGGCTACAGCTTCAGTTCACTGGGCATCGGCTCCCCTCTCAGGCCAGCCAGCAAGTTGTTAGCTGCCAACAAGGACATGGTGTTGCGAGTTCTGTAGGTGGCACTGCCAATGTGGGGCAGGATCACTGGAAAGAGAAGAGAGGGAGATAAGCAGCGTGGCTCAAGAGCCTTCAACTGGGCTCTTTTATCATGTCTTGGGTTAGCCAGTGAGAAAAGAGAAGCTGCCTCCTCATTCCGTGCTTTGCCTTCCCTCCTGCGGCCACTAAGCATTCCACCCCCCCAGGGCTGAGGCTCAGGGGAACAGAATAAAGGGACTTCAGGCTGCTGAAAGCCAGACACAATGTGATGAGAGGTTCATATCCTAAATACAAGAATGCTGGGACTAGCAGGGGTCTTGGAGCTGATCTAGACCCAGCCCTTCAGTTAACGGTGGTGTCGATTTAGCTTAGGAGTTTAGCACCGGCCACCCACACCCTGTGCCCCCGAAAATGATGCCACAGGGCCACAGGGTTTCTGATCTACAGAAATAACTCCAAGGTGGAATGCTGGACAGCACAGCTCCCTCTGGCCCCACTACAGGGCAAGTGAAGTCATTTGTCCCCAAAGAATTGCCAGCTGGGTGTGGTGGCATGTGCCTGTAGCCCCAGATACTTGGGAGGCCGAGGCGAGAGGATCCCTTGAGCCCAGGACTTTGAGTCTAGCCTGGGCAACACAGCAAGACCCAATCTCTTAAACAAAACAAAAAAACCTACTCTTTAGAAGCAGTATCCAGTACCTGGGTCCCTGAGCTAAATTCCCAGGCTTTGGGGGATGGGGCCAGTTTTCCTGGCTATGGCCAACAGTGCTGACATCACAGCTGGTGTTCCTTGCAGGCTGGGTGGGAGGCGGGAACAGTAGAGTTTCCAAGGGCTGCAATAATGGGAGCATTCACTGGGGAAGGCAGTTAAAGACCTCCTATTTGGTGTCCATGCCAGAATTTAAGTAAAGCACAGGGACTTGGCCCAGACAGCCTAAGGCCCTGACCACTCACAGTTAGTGTGAAGGCAGAAGCCACACCAGCTACCTGAATACAGAGAACTTATTACAAAGGATTATTAACTAGGTACAAAGTTGTTAACTAGGTAACTGAAGAGGCAAAAAGGGAAAACACTGAGGCAGTAGTTCTCTAAGTGTGGTCTCGGGACCGTCAGCATCAGTGTCATTTGGGAACTTGTTAGAAGTAGTCTTGGCCCCACCCCAGACCACTGAAGCAGAACCCTTTGGGCTGGGGCCCAGCAACGTGCATTTGATCAGTCACCCCCTCCTGGTGACTCTGAGGAACACAAAAGTATAAGACCCCTGGCACTAGGGTATCAGAGGTAGCAACTGCTCGAAGCGTCTACCACCCCAGGGATAGGGGGACAAAGGGAAGGGTGGGACTGCTGAAACCTAGAAGACTGAAGGCAGGGCCCCGCTGGAGTTGAAATTTAGACCTCTGTGGCTGTTGCTTGTGTCTCTGAGGAGGGCCCAACGGGACTGGTTAACTGAGTGTTGGAAAAACTGCAAACTGGATTCTCCAGCAGGAAGCAATTGGTGCTGCCAGCTGCGACAGGAAGGCAGGAGGGAGGAGGGAGGAAGTCCCCCGTGACAGGGCCTGGCAGGGCCAGCTGGCACAGCAGGAATTGGGTGCACAGAGGCCCAGCCCCGGCCAGGCAAAGCAGAATAGAGAAG